CGCACGTGGTCGGCGGGGGCTCCGTGCGGCCTCCCGCGGGCCGCCCGGCTGATGAAACGCAGCCTCCCGGCTCAGCTCGGCCGCGGGCCCGGGAGCGGCGTTCCCTCGTGGCCCCGAGGCCGGCCGGGCGTGCGGCTCCAATCCTGTGTGTTATCTGGTGGCCCTCATTAGAGAGCTATTTAGATTGTTTATTCTTTTTCTGTAATGATTTCATGCCTATTTGGTTAATTAAACCTTCGAAGGTCTCTGTCTTTTAAATGAGAAACAGAGTACCACCTCCCAGTCTCTTGGAGTATTTTAACTCAGCCTGTCTCTAATCTGATGAACCATGAAGTATAAATGACTCGCACAAGTGGAATTTCAGAGGTTTTATCACAGAACGCAGGCGGATCACCCTCCCATCTCCTGGATATGGGGACCTTACCTTTAAATTACCGATGGTACTTGTGTGCTCCAAGTGCTGTTGATCCAAATAGAGTTCAGAGACTTCTACTGAATCTCCAACCAGAGCCACTCCCTTTTAGCTCCTTGGAATCCCCCAGGGATTTTATCATTCTGACCTGGATCCACTCCAAACCCGCCGAAGCTCTTTGAAATTAAACCACTTGTCCAAGTTTATATAACTAGTAGGTGGCAGAGCTGGAATTTAAACTGGTTGGTCTGGCCCGGAGGCCTGGGGTCGGCACCGCGGCTGGCGTCCGGGCGCCTCCGTGTGCCTTTGGGCCCCTTTCCCCGCGAGTCGCGCGTGGGACCCGCTCCGGGGCGCCTCCTGGGAGCCCGCGGCCCGGGGAGGGCGGGGGTGATTTCTGGGGTGAAGGATCCCACCGCCGCGCGCCTCAGGCAGCAGGACTTGAGGACGGGGACTAGGGCAGGACGCAACAGCCGAAGGCCAAGGCCATGTCTGGTGGGACATCCCCCGGCTGAAGGAGCCCGGGTTTCAGTTCTAGCTCTGCCTTGGACTGGCTCCTTGACTTTGGATAGTTCATTTCTTTTCTGGATCTTAATGTCCTCATCTGTAAAGTGGAGAGCTTGGATTCACTATCTTTTCCACCCCAAACTTCCGTAACAGGCCCTCTTACGGTCTCTTGCTGGGCTTCCAGTTTAACAAACAAAACCAAAACCTGACTTAGAAGAACTGTAGTTTCTCTTTTTCTTTCTCTGGACGATCTCAGTGATGCACATAGTTCCTGGGGGTGGTTGGCACTGGGTGTTTGCAGAGATGGAGACCTTAGCTCAGCAGGACGTAGGGATATTTTCCTTTGCAGGGGCTCTCCACCTAGCTAAAAAGGAGGGAAGCTGAGCCTGTGCAAGATGGATAAGTGGACGGTCTGGTTAAAATACAGAACCCGCAAAGGGAACTCAGAGAAGCCAGGTATCGGTGACCAGTTAATTGCAGGAGCCTCAAGCCTATACTCACTCCTTCTGCTCTGCCGCTACCTTGGTGTCTGTCTCTCCCTCCTGTGGCGCCCTAAGGCTGGTACAGGGCTGAGCTTGGTGGGGGCTCGAGTCACACAGATGGGTAATGGGTCCATGTGTGCACTCTGAGTTTTGCCAACACCCCTCCTGCCATGCAGCCTCTGGTTGGATGAGGGGCTGCAAGCCCGGTGCACACCCTGAGGGTGCACAGTCCCGGTTGCCTGATGGGACCATCCTGGCCTCTGGTCTGTAGCCCTTCCTACTTGGCACGGGCTTCTCTCACCTCCACCTTTGCCAAGCCCAGGAGCATTCCCCCCCCTCCCCAGGAAGCCTCCTGAAGAGCTCTTTCCCCACCCGAAGGTGCTCTCTCTTACTGCCTTGTTTGGTAGTTGCCTGTTTTGTAATTCTCTTTCTGTGAGTTTGTCTTTCCCACCGGATAGTGATCCCCAGCAGGGAGAGCTGAGCAGGGACTTCAGATTTTATTTCTGGTTTCATAGTTGAGAAAGTACAGGGCATGACCCTAGAAAGTTCTTAGGGAATGTATGGAAAATGTAAAAATGACAGCTCTATTCCTTCAGTGTGACTGATTTAGTTGTGTGAACTCTTTAAACCTCCCCACAACCTAAACTTACCACCATTGTCCCCCTTCCATGTAAGGAAACTGAGGCAGAGAGAAGTAACTTCCCTCAGGTCACATAGGTGGAAGTGGGAGGACTGGGCAGGTTACTTTTAGTCATTACACGAAATGGCCTCAGGTGAATGAATGAAGTCTGCTGATTGGGACTTTATGGGTGGCTCATTGGGTCAACTAGGGTATGCTGATTTCTTCCCACAGACATTGCCTCATTTTGGGATTTTGCAACAAATGGAACCTTCCATGCAGTCTGGAAGGATACCTGTGCATCTCCAGCTTGTGCGTCGTCTCTCCTGGCTCCTGGGCCCCCTAGCACTTTCTGAGGCTTCCAGTATAGCTTCTCCTGGCTACAGGCTCCTAGCTGCATGCCCGGGTTCCTAGTTTGGAACATGGATCTAAGGATTAAATCTGCCTCCCGGGCCTAGGAGGTGATCAGACGAGCCAGAGAAAGGCTTCAGTGATTGTCAAGTGCAGGGCAGACATCTGTGTGGCTATTTTTGTTGGTTTCATGCCTCTTGGGGATACAAGGTAAGAGTAAGGAAGGAAGGCATGATAAGATTGACTACTAAATGTTCAGCGTATATGGCAGTGCCTGCTGTGGACTAGGCCTTGGGCTAGGTGTGGAGGAGAAGGTCCTTGCCCTCCCAGAGTGTAGCAGTTCATGCCAACTGGATTTTGTTGCTAGATCAGGCCTGGGAAATGTAGTCTCCCTTGACTCTTTTTTTTTTTTTTTTTCTTTCCTTAAAGGTAGTTTAAGGAACAGGCTCAGCCAGACCAGAGTCCAGAGGTACAAAGACATGGAAACTATGGGTTTGGACTTTGGATGGAGCCAGATGGCTTCCCCTCCTGGCTACAGAGCTGACAGCCACCCCACTTTGGGCAGATCACTTCACATCTTTGACCCTCAGTTTTCTCTCCTGTGAAATAGGAAAAATATGTTAAGGAAAGGGCCTGTCTGGGAAGCAGAGTACTGGGCGTCATGCTTATGTTTCCTTCTGTTACATCCCCACGGCAGCTGTGCGGGGCAGGCTTCCCTGTTCCCTTTTGGCAGATGAGAATAGCAAGGTTCGGGCCGTTAAGTACCTTGACAACGAATGTCATGGAACCTGGGAGTGGCTGAGTGGAGATTCAAGTCCAGGCTTTCTGGCTCTAAAATCTTCAGTCTTTTCATAATATTTTGCTGCTTTCCAGCCTTAGATCCCTAGGTAGGGAAGGTGTGTGATAATTGTTAGAGGCTTGTCTTTTGAATATTCTTTTATACATTGGGAGAAAGGGCTGCCAAGTGATCTTCCGGAGCTTCAAGTCAGGGCCAGCTTCAGGTGCATGCAACCTGCACAGTCTTACAGGGCCTCCCCTGCCTTAGGAAGGACGCCCCCCCCCCCCCCCCCCACCAATTTGCTTTAATGCTCTGCTGTTTCTATCTTGAAATTCTTCATCATTTTTGAATAAGGAGCCTCACAAGTTACGTAGCTGGTCCTGTTTACTGAGAGAAGCAGAGGTGGTGAGGGCATAGTAATCGGATTCCACCCTGCAGGGGGCCTGATCAGTGGCAGTCAACCCTCGGGCGAGCTCAGAATCAAGCAGATGTGTGCCGACTGGACACTTCATGTGAGAACCATGGCAGCAAAAGATGATTCTAGTGGACTTTTCACCAAGAGGTTTGGTCAGCAGGGTTACTCTGTCATCCAAAGGGACTTAGGCATGATTTTCCTTAGTGAGGGCTGATTCCCACACCCCCAGGTGGACATATAACAGAGGTAAAGTGTGCAGGTTGCAGCTGAAATGGGTGGCACTGGAGACTCAGTTTCTCCTCAAGGAAACTCGCACCAAGGGCATCACTGCTTTTGCTGATGAAAGTGGCTATGGGCGATGCCTGCCAGGCCTCTCAGGGACTCGGCTCTGGAGGCTTTGGAAGCATTTCCAAGATCTTTTAGAGCTAAGTGCCAGGAAAATTCATTGTTCGCCTCACCATCCTTTTTTGTCTCCTTATAGATGACTACTTAACTGAGAGTGTTTCCATTTTAGCTTTGACCACCTGGAAGCTCAAAATCAAATTCTTAGCTCAAGCATAGCAACTGTGTCAAACCTCAAAATAGCAACACCAAGAGCTAATATTTTTGGGATGTGTCCTTTGTTCCAGATGTGTTGTGTGTTTTTTATATGCATCATCCCGTCCATTCTTTGCAGTAACCCTGTGGAGAAGCTACCATGATTTGAAGAGCTGAAGCTCTTTGAAATTAAACCACTTGTCCAAGTTTATATAACTAGTAGGTGGCAGAGCTGGAATTTAAACTGGTTGGTCTGACTCTGGAGTCCATGTTCTTGAAAACAAACCTCTACCGTCTCTGTAAGGGAACCTGATGGCCTGAATATCTGGCATTCGGATATTTTTGTTCTTTCTGGTTGATACTTTTTCTTTTTTTTGGTAATTTATATTTCCCCTAGATGTTTTTTGATTTATATTTTTCAGTATCTTGTGAAAGCTATTTGAAATCCTGTGTGTAAATGAGGCTCCCCATTACGACTATACCTTTCTCGTGCCTGGTTGTCTGCGGCGTCCTCAGTATGGGGACAGAAATCCTACATGCCTGGGAGTGCGACTTGGTCAGCTCTTGAGTTCTTTGGCCATAGCTGAGCTGGAGGAGACCCAAGACCAGAAAGGAAGTTCTCACTTAGCCTAGGCTTTGGAGGGTTTTAGTTTCTCCTCCTCATTCTTCTGAGAATTTTCCTCAGCATGATCAGAAAGACTAAAGTCAGCAAAAGACTCCTGGGTGGCTCTCCTTGGCCTTTGGTAGCTTTGGCCTTGGAGAGAGCCCTAGGAAGCTCAGCCGGCCCAGGTGTGAAGTTCCTTTTTGTGCTGTTTTCTGAAGGCAAGTGAAGCTGAGCCGGCTGTTCCAGAATGAACCGCAGCTCTGAGAAGGGGAAGTAGTAAGACAGCTGGCTCTCTGCCATGGCCTGTGAACCACAGATGGACCCCGGTGAGGTGGCTGACCCATTGCCCACCTCCTCTACTGGCCGGAGTGCCCTGCCTGGAGGGACCCCTCCCAGCTGGGGGCCAGGTAAGGTCATGACCTTTAACCCCCCTACCCCCCCACTGCACCATGCTGAGCTGGACTCATTTAGCATGCTTGGGGGGAGTGATGGGTATGGAAGTTCCTTCAGATAAGGGTGGGCATCTTCCGGATACATTTCCAGCCTACTTTCTGTCATTTTTACTCAGTTCTCTTTCACCATGTCCTTAGGAACAAGACACCATCACTCTCTGCTTGGACCCCTGCAGTAGCTTCCTGGCTGGTCTTTTCTCTTCCTTTTCTCTTCCATCCATTGTCTACATGGTGCCAGAGAGATCTTTTTTTTTGAGCGAGATCTTTTTTTTTTTTTTTAACTGACCAGTAACGGGATCGCAACCCTCGGTGTTGCGCCCGCACTGCGCTTAGCCAGTGAGCGGGAACCGGTCTCCACATGGGATCCGAACCCTCGGCGGGAGCGCCGTCACACTCCCAACGGCGCACTCTCCAGTGCGCCACCGGGCCGGCCCATTGAGCGAGATCTTTTAAAAATGCACATCTAACCATGTCATTCTCTGCTTCAGTGTTTCCCATTGAGCTTAGCATGAAAATCCAACATTAACCAGCTTGCAAGGTGTGCCCCTTAATGGCCCTTGCTGCATCTGTTCTAGGTTCTTTGCCATGCTCTTCTGCCCCAGGGCCTTTGCACCTGCTTTCCTTCTGCCCGTTATGCTTTTTCCCTGCCTACTTTCTCATGCTTAATTTCCATATATCCTTCAGAGCTCTGTTCAAATATCCCTTCCATGAGGAATCCTCCTGATGGCCCAGCCTAAGTCAGGACACTGACATATTACTATTTCTCCCTATGGCACTTTACACAGTCTAAACATATGTCCAACTTCCCCATTAGAATGTAAGCTCCTTGAGGGCAGGGTTTCTGTGTTGTCTTGTTCATCCCTGTATCTGAAGTACCAAACTCAGGGCTTGGTTCATAGTAGATGCTCAGTAAGTATTTTGTTGAATGAATGAATGAATGAGTGGCTGGGCATAGGCAAGGGGAAACAGCACTCTGACTTGTAGAGGTCCATGAGAATGTGGCTTGTTACTTAGAGGATTTGAAATTTGACTGCTTAAAAACAGGGGTTTCTTTAATTACTGCTGTTATTAGGAAAGCAATTTATACACACAACAGTAGAAAGGAATGGAATGAGATAATTTTCCTGCAGAACTTTGAAGACATTGCTCCATTCATTTTTGGCAAGCCAGGTCTTGCTCCTTTGTAGGAAATTGCTTTACCTGCATGCACACACACACACACACACACTCTCTCACACTCTTCTTTGGTAGCTTTTCTTAGGCTAGGTGTAAAATAAAGTATTTCTATGTGAAGGACTTGCTGTTCTCACTTTAAGGAACAGATGAGAGGTAGTATTGTCAAGAATCCATGAACTCTTGATTCAAAAAAGCAAAGATACTGCAAAAGGTCTTTGCATTGCTCAGGCAGACACTTACTTCAGTGTGCGAAGAGCCAGGCTGGGGGAAGGTTCGCGTTCTCCATGTCTGGAGTCCCAGTAGCCGTGGGGTTTTTCTTCTGGGCCGGGAAGTCTGAGGCCCATCCTCGGGACCACCTGCATTCCCTGCCCTACCTCCCTCCTCGTGTCTCTGCCTCACTTCATTTTCCAGAGGCTCAGTTTCCTTTACCATGTTAACGGTTCCCACTTTTTAGGGCTCTTGGAGGATTAAATGCTATGATTGAAGCCTCAGCTCAGTGCCTGGCGCACAGTAGGGGATTGATACCTGGAACCTGTTCTTATTATCTGCCTTTATTTAGTTATTTTTGTCTACTTTTCCTCATTTGCTTATTATTAAATTTAATTTTATAATTTTACCTTTTTATATGTTATTTTTATGAAACCACCTTAAATTCTTTCTGGAATAAGGTGTGGGAGGACCAAAACAAGTGCACGTAAATTGGTATTGCTTTATTGTAACTTTTGAGTTTTGACAAGCTTGCTTTTAAATGATGACAATAATAGCGGCCAGTTATTCAGTACTCACTTTGTGCTGAGCATTTTGTTTTTATCATCTTGATTATTTGTAAAGTCCTCTGCAGTGAATACGGTCGTGCTCTAAGTAAGGCAGCATGCCTGGGGCTTTGGGGTGCTTATTCAGGTTTACCCTGTTAGCAAGAGGCTGAGCTACAATCCAATCCCAGAGCTATTGCAGTTTCTCCACCTCACCACCTTGCCTCCACGTCCCTCCCCACTTCCAAAAACTCCCACAAAAGAGATTTAGCAAAATAATGCTCTTTTTGGCAGGACGTAGAATTTAGAATTCTATAGAACCCTTGAGATCATAGGTGATACCCCAGGGAATGAAAAAAGAACCCTATCAAGGTTGGGGTCCATAGTCATATTGTATTCATTCATTTATACATCTAATATGTATTTAGTGCCTACTGTATGCTGGGCACTGAATCCAGCTAACAGGATTCTGTGATGAACAAGCCATTGTGGGAGCATATGAAGGCACTTCAAAAAATTTGTGGAAAGATATAATTAAAAGATAATACAAATCTTCCCATGAAGTTTTTGAAGACTCCTCATATAATCTGGTGAGGAAGAGACTTTAATCAAGTAATTGCATACATATGCAATCAAATAATTGCATACGTATGTATTTATCTTCGGTGAGTGTAAAGGAGAAGAGCAGGCAGTTATGGGTAGGTTTAACAGAAGGATTTGATCTGTTAAAAGTGTCAGGGAGGGCTCCCTGGTAAAAGTGATTAATGAACTGGGACACAAATGATGTGCAGGAGTTAACTGGGTGAAGCTAGGGGGAAATGTTCTAGGGACCGGGGACAGCATATGCAAAGGCCTTGGGGTGGGAGAGAACACTACATATTCAAGCAGCAAAGGAGACTGGTGTGGCCAGACACAGAATGGGGTAAGCCTCATTCTGAGGTGGCTCCAGGTGAGTCTGGCAGGAGGCTAGTTCTCCCAAGAGCTGGAGGAAGATGGGAAGACAGTTGGGTTTTGTCAGCAAAGCACCAGGAGGCTATTGACGGTTTTACTCAGGGGACTGGTGTCATCTGATTTGCACTCTGGCTGCTGGGTGGAGAATGCATTGTAAGAGAAGAGTTGGTTTGTAGGAGCCAGTCAGGAGGCTCCTACGGAGCTGCAGGGAAGAGCTGAGGATTGCCCAGAGGTACAAGGAGTGGAGAGAGATTTTGTTGGCCCAGTTAGCAGGCCTCAGGGATGGGGTGACGGGGAAGAGAGAGTGTTTGGATGGGCCAGGGATTTCCAGGAAGGTGGAGCCAGTCATTTGACTTTGAAGACTCCAGTATCACTCAGAACTAGCCTGAGGGACAGGAGCTTGGGGCCAGCAGAGAAAGTACTTGTGGTTTAATCCCTTCATTTGTGCCTCATCGTCTAAGCAGCAGCCATGGAGAATATGCCAGAATATCCAGTCCTCAGCCACGCATGGCTGAACTCTGGGATCCTAGGCTTTCAGGGCTGGAATCCCACCCATGAAGTCCCCCCTGGCTGCTCACAGAGCCTCATCCTGTGATGGGGGGAGATCTCGATCCTCTTTCCAGAGTTTCCTTATGCAGAGCTACAGGAAGGTAGGTGTGGCCTCACGTGCTGCCATTCCTCCCTGGGCTGGAGGGGTTTCCAGTCCAGACCTTCCTCTCCAGTGGGTCTCATGGTCTGGCTTCATTCCAGCATTGCAGGGTGAGCGTTTCCGGTAGCTGTTGTGACCAGCCTCAGTTGATATGTGTTTTTTGAGGGAATAAAGACCTAATTGTGCTTTTAAAATGTTGAGTGAGTTGCAGAGATGCTTGGGAGGGGTTACCAGCAAGTCAGCGTTTCAGTTTTCTATTGCTGCTGTCACAAGTTACCACTAACATAGTGGCTTAAAACCCACAATTTTAATTTATTATCTTCCTATAGGTTAGAGGTCTGACACTGGTCTCAGGAGCTAAAATCCAGGTGTCGGCAGGGCTGTGCTCCTTCTGCAGGCTCTAGGGGAGAATCCTTTCTGTGCCTTTTCCAGCTCCTAGAGGCTGCCCGTATTCCTTGGCTCATGGACCCTTCCTCCATGGTCAGTGCCAGCCATGTTACACCTCTCTGTGCCTTTCTTCCAGCCACATCTCCCTCTGACTCTGCTTGTGCCTCCCTCTCCTCACTTTTGAGGATCCTTGTGATTCCATTGGGCTATGCAGATAATCCAGGATAATCTTCCTATTTAAGGATAGCCAATTAGCAACTTTAATCCATCTGCAATCTTCATTCCCCTCTGCTATGGAAGGCAGCATATTCACAGGTTCTGGGGATTAGCCTGTGGACATCTTTGGGGACCATTATTTTGCCTCCCATAACCAGTTATCTCTTTGAGTTATTCAGTTGAGCTTCCTTTACAGCACTCGAATAAATGTCTACTACATCATCCCCTCAATGAAGTTAGTTGTTCAGGCTACATCTCCCTTGTGATGGGGAGCTCACTACCACCCATTCTTTGTGGGGACGGTTTTCATCTTGGGAAGTTTTTCCTTACATGGTCTTACACTGTGTCACAGTAGCGTCTTTGCTTTGGCCTCAGTTCTGTCTCCTGGGGGTTTCCCAGTCAAGTCCAGTCCTTCTCCCGTAGGGATTTGAGGATGGCTACCGTGTCCTTCCTTGTTAAGAGAAGGTTCTCACGGCCAGACGAGTGATGCCATCAGCCTGTGGGTTCATCCAAAGAGGGTGAAGCTTCAGATGACCGAGGAAGCTTCTGGTCTGCTTTCAGAGCTCCGCAATGGCCAGGTCCTCACAGTTCTCCGGATCGACAATACCTGTGCCCCCATCTCCTTTGACCTGGGAGATGCAGAAGAGCAGCTGCAGACATGGGGCATTCAGGTAAGTGCTGATATTACTGAATCCCTACGATTTTCCCTTCCATCCATCCGCCCACCTGTCTGGCTGTCCTTTCATCAAGTTATTCACAAAATATTTACTAAACTCTCCGTGCTAACTGGCAGGAGATAGACGTAAAGGTGTATCAGAACTGTCCTCTCTTCCCAATTAATTCACTTAACAAATGTATGTTTTGGGGTACCCACTCTGTGCCAGGCACTCAACTGGCTCAGTATTTATAGAGGTGACTGCTCACAGAGCCCAGTGGGGCAGATGGACACATAGAGGAGTGTACAAGGCATTGAAGACTTTCACAGAAGAAAATGATAAACTTGCCTGGGGGACTGGTGGTTATGAGCTTCTCAAAAGAGCAGATACTTGATCTGGGATCTTGAAGGATAAATAGGAGTATGCTGGGTGGACAGGCGGAAGGGGATTTTAGAAGAGGGAACTGCATATGCAAAGGAATGTGCATGTGAACTCATTAGTTAATGATGAAGTACCTTCAAGCGTGGCGATCCGAGGCACAGGCTTCACAGACCCAGTGATCTGGACGCAGGTCCAGCTCTGCTGCTCGCTACCTGTGTGATTTCAGGCAAGTGACTTAACCTTTCTGAGCCTCTGTTTCATCATTTATAAATGAGGACAATATTAAAACCTATTATATAGGGTTTTTGTTAAGATTAGATGAAATAATGCTTGAGGAACACTTGCATTGTCTCTAGTATTTGTAAATGCTTAATAAATTGGAGCTATTATTGTTATAATGAAGAATCCATAAGTATAGTTTTCTCTCTTCCCAAAGCCCCCAACATGACTATGTCTTCCCTGTGTTAGCCAGGGAGGATTAATTATGGATGGGGAAGATACTCTGCTAGTTTTACTCTGAAGAGTTTGGCATTTACTTCTTTAAAACTGAATTGCATTGTTGTTTCGAACATTTCACCACCATTGAAGGGAAACTTCCCAAATTGACAACGATAATCCCACATCAGCACAAACTGGTTTTTTCCATGTTTCCTTTTAACCTCTGTACAGAAGAACATACTTCTTAAACAGTTGTCTTCAGATTGGGCTTCCTTACCAGTGAACAGTTTATGTATTACTCTACCATGTTTCTAAATATAATTTTTAATGGTTAAATTCTATTTTCTTTTTTTTTTTTTTTTTTTTTTTTTTTCGTGTCCGGCAACGGATCGCAACCCTCCGT